CACATACACATACACACACACACGTGTGATCCATATGAGCTACGCGAAATTTACCCCGGGCTGTGAAGCTAATAGAACAAGGTACACAAACACGCTGCCAAGCACACATGCCACGCAAGCACTTTCTCTGCTTGCTCTCAGGATAATCGCCGTCTAGCAATAATTCGAGTGCCGAAGCTCCCTGGGTATGGAGAGCCCTGGTTTTTGCGCTCAGGGCGATGCCCTGGCGGCCTCCCTGGAGTCGGCTCTGACCCTTTGAGACATCCGGTCCTCCTCGATCCGGGCCCCAACGAAAGGAGGCCAGGCTTGGGCATCGTTCCGAACACCGAAAACACTCGCGAAATCCGAAATCCAGACATCTTCCCTCATCCCTGCTAGGAGCGCTCCCGCCCGAAGCCGGCTCGCGATCCTGGAAGGCCTTTCGTGTCCGGGATGCAGCGCGCCCTCGACGGTGCACTTTATGTCTGGCATTCGGGAAAAAGGGACACCGAGAGCTGACCGCTGCTGCTGACCGCTGCTGCTGACCGTGAGTTTTCAACGAATGCCCTCCAAAGTTCAAGGGTTTTGGAATAGTCTGAATCTGGTTTGGGGGTATGATGGGGTATGCCCCCTTCTCATCCCCTCTCTGATACGAGAGTGGAACGGCAACGTTTCAGTTTTCTGCAACAATCGATTTGAGGCAGAAGGGTGAGGGAGGGCCTTAATGTCTCCAAGGCAAAGCCACCACATCAACGGGTGGGCTTCTCAGCTACCGGCGGATTCTGCGAGAGTGTGAGGTTTGTTAGACTGCAGGCATCAAGAAGCAGTTTTGCGGGTTTCGTGTCTGCTTCAGGTGGCCACTAGTGGAGGCCCTAAAGCGAGTCAATGCTCTCAGAGCCAGCCGAGAGCCACAGCCAGAGTCCCTCAGGCCGCTTGCCGGCTTTGTTTTGTGTTCTGTTTGAATGGGTTTAGGTTACAGGAGTTCGCAAAGCGTCGTGGTCCATCTGCATCCCTCCTGTTGTCAGTTTGAAGTGCTCCAGGGCACCGGTGACGCCATTGCTGGACATCGTGCTGTGCTATTGTGGGAGGTGGCTGCAGTGAGAACCCGTGGTTTAAGGTTGATGGATGGACTTAGGAAGGGCAGCAATCAGGATGGGAGGGAGACCACAATGCAGACATACTGGGAAAGTAGATAGCCTCAGGCGACGTGGCCCTGACTTGGAACATTCGATCGGGATGTGTTGTTTGTTGCTTTCGAGGGGCGAGCGCATCGACTGGCTGCGGGGCTTCCACAAGCTCCCGTGGCGGAACGAGGCCGTCTCACTTAGGCAGCACAATCATCACGTCGGACGCGTCTGCCTTTGGAGCCGATCCCTGGCCGTGTCACCTGGAATGCTGTTGTAGCGGAGCAGCGTGTGTGCAGAACCGCTCGGCGTCCACGACCACTCGAGTCGCGCTCAGGCCCATCAGAATCTGGAGCCCAGGCGAAAGCATTGTTTTCAAGGGCCTACCCCTCCGGAGGTTCTACCACAAGTGTGGGGCGATGGGCGACGAGCAGCGCGAGGATTCGCAAAGTGATCTTTCGGAATATTTCCTTGTTCCTCCTGTGAGATCGAAGGAAGAGACTTCGAAGCTCAAGGACGAGTGGTCCGACTACTTCCACACTGTGGAGGCGGCCGAAGATGCTCGAAGAGTTGATGGCTCAAAACAAGCGTTTCCACGATGTTGTTCAGGTCCGCTACGTGGACGACCAGGTACGAGCTGACGACTGTTCCGCATACCTGGCCTACATCGTTGACCGATACGACGATCTGCCGGAATTCGCAGTCTTCCTGCATGCAGATGCTCCAGAGGCCACGGCTGCTCGGAACCCCGTGCACGTGCTCGGATTCTTTAGCAAACACTATTCGAGATGTTGGCGGATCAATTCTTGATAACCTTCGGGTATCCCATGGTCGTGTCGAGAGCAGAGGGAGTGCATGATATTCTTGTGCATGATGCATCTTCACAACCCAGCGAACTCACGGAATCAGCGCAGGCGAGTGTAGTCGGCAGATACAGTCTGAGCACATGTGGCCGCTTGCCAGCACATCCCGAGCGTGGACTTGTTGATGGACGCCGTCTTTGCCGCTTCCAGGCGCCATCCATGCTTGCCGTGGCAGTCACCTTGTCCACAATCCATTGCCAGGGGCTTCCTCCCGAAAGAGGCGGGCTTCGTCCACCTGGCCCATAACTACGTGCGGCACGACTGCCCAGGCCCTTCTCTTCGTACTCCGGTGGGAGAGAAGCGATCGTTCTACTGCCTTGCTCGCAGGGAACAGGACCGGCTGCAAGGATCCGGATGCCCCAGAAGTGGCACGGCTTTGGAGGACCCGGGCTGTCCCAGAGGCCTCTCGCCGGAAACTCACAGCGCGTAAGACACCAGGAAAGTTTTCCACTCGTCCATCGCGCCGACGCGGCTCGAGGTGTGGAGCGTCAGTAATCACTAACACGGCGTAAACAATGCACACGCACCATGGCTCATTGCTTTGGAGGGCCACATGAACGGCTACTGCTGCGTCTGGATCTCGAGATTCGTGTGTGTAACACCGGTTTTGCTGCCGGTGGCCTTGTCGAACTGGCCACGCCCCTGTCACCCTTCTAAGGTGCAATTTCTGGTCCGCCGTGAACGCATCCGGCTACGGACGAAGCAGTTCTACGCGGGTGTCTGAGAACGATGAAGAGACGAAGTTGAGGTTCTGTGTCGTTGAGCATAGTGTTGAGTCTTGCTCGAAACAGGTCGATGCCTTGAACTTTTTTGGAGTACCTTGGCAGCACCGCAGCACAGCATCAGCTTCGCAAAGAGGTCCAACAGATTCCAATATGTCGTGCAGACTTGTTGTTCTTTGCCTCTTACATGTGCTATCAGGCTGAAAACACGAATCGTATCGCCAGGATACTGCCGAGTCCTACTACGAACTCTTCCCCGTTGGCAAGGCCAGCCGAGTTTTCTCCTGGAGCCATTGAACAGACAGAAGATGCAGCAAACATGCCATGCCTTGTCATGACTATTCGTTGAGTAGCATGGAGGTTGCTGTTGCTATTGGCATCACGAGCACTTTTCGAGGTTGTGTTTTGACACCTGGGCATGTGCAAAATTCTAGAGTCTACGGAAATATTATATTGTCGCAAAGATGCCATGTTCGCGGAAGCATCGTGGAGGATGGCTTCCAAGGCCCCAAGAGATGCTCGTCTGGTGCATTCTTGTATTGTAGGATGCATTTTTTGGAGTGGACTTGCGCAGGTGTTTCGCACCGGCATGTGACGAAGATGACCTTGGCTAAGTTGTAGATATGGCTGGCATGAAAGTAGCTATCAAGCACAATACTAACACTGAGAGGCATATGTATGGCTGCAACGAGAATGAATAGGAGCAGCAGCGCTGCTGCTGCTACTGTTGCTACTACTTCCTACGACAGCGACTGTTGCACTTCATGAGTTTACAAAACATGCATCGTACTTGCTGCCTCGTCTGCCTTGGCTCCCTTGAGTCGCAGGTGGTTTGGACGCCTGACACGCGAGGTCGAACCCCCTGCCAGCTGGCCATGTGACCCTCCGCTGAAGGGCCATGAGACGTTGAGGATCAGTTCGAGGGCATGGGATTGCAGCTCGCCGCGCGGGCGAGGTACTTCTGGCACGTCATTTTCGGTGAAGATCTGTGGCTTCCGCGGCGTCATCGTGACTCGCGACTGCAGCGGCCCTGTTTCAGTCGTACATAACATGGCAAATAGTTCAATGTGTGCAACCATGACCAGATCGGCAAAGCAAGCTCCCTAGCCTACAAGCGTGCAGACTTCGGAACATCAGGTCAGACCCAAGGCCAAAGGTCCAGGCGGTGTAGTGGCGATCGTCTTGCATAGTGACAGCATGTGATTCTGCAGTGGGCCCGTCGTCCAAGGCCTTTGTTCATCCGCATGTTGAACATCGAGGAGCGATCTCTGCCCTCTCGCACTGTCCTTTCCGTGCATCCGTTGCTGCCTAGATCAGATGTTTCCTGAAATGCGACGCTTTCGTGCCAGGCGGAGGCAGCGCTCGAGGCCCAGAGAGGTGAAGATGGCGCGGGCGGTCGCGTCATTCAATTCACAGGCCAGTCCTGATTGAGTCCCCATCATAGCACAGTGACTACCAGTAGTCACGTGCCGTGCGTCTTGCGCAGATGGCCCATGTGTTGATCATAGCATGCCCAAGTGGAGGCGATAACACGGGTTCCGAGGACACGTGCCCGCTTCCATTCCTAGGGCATTCGCACACCATGGCGGGGTTCCAGGTCGCTGTGTTCTGGCGTTGAAATCGCCCTCATATATGTGGTCCTGCCAATGCAGATCAGATGACGCCGATGAATGAAGTTGGCCGTGTCAGGTACTACCGCTTGCAGAGTCTCTTCATGGAGACTGGCCAACCGCCATGAATGCAGCCAAGATGTTGCAGCAAAAACAGCGGGCCGCCAGCTTTGTAGCGCCGTGCGATGCGGGCCGCGCGCACACGAACTGATCCGCTCTAAGCGGGCTGCTGAAGACGGAGACAACCCTCAGATGCAGGTGCAGAAGCCGGCGAGCCTGCAACAGATGTCGGAGCGGCTCGCAGAGCCCTGCACTCGGCGCGAGTGGGGATGCCATGTGGTTCGGGGGCAGAGCATTGCGAGCAGAGGCAGGCGGTCCAAGCCGCGAAGAAGGACCTGCTGGCTTGGGACTCAGGGTGTATACGGCCGTTTTCGAGGAAGAAAACCGCCATTTCTGTCAAGGATGATGTCAAGCCCTGGGAGAAACAGAAGGCGGGGGTGTGTCGTGATGTTGCGGAGCTTTGTGTCTGAAAGTAGAGCAGTTCCTCTTCGATCGTTGCGTGGATCTCTAGTCTCTCGACAGGCGAGGTTCACTTTGGTCGAGAATCCCCCGAGCATCATGAAACTGCAGACAGGTGGGTGAAAAACCGCGAGATTAGGGCATCATTGGAAATGACGATGGGGTGTGCTCGGCCAGGAAAGAGAGCGAGCATGAAGCCTTCGGTGCGTGCTTCGACGGCCGTACCTCGATCTATATATGAGGGCTCTTCTACATAGCTTTCTGATTTGGTTGCCTGGGTGCCCCCAAGGTTACTCCTCCTCGCAGTGAGTCGCTCGAGCGAGACCGAGACCGGTCGGTATCTGGACAGCACAGCCATCAGCATTCGCGAGAGAGCGCGGAAGAAGTCTCAGCCGTCCTTCAAGAGAGAGCAGCGCCAAGGCACCTGCATCCCCCGTCAGACAAAGGACGGGGCTAGCATGTAGGAGGGACGAATGCCATTTGTAAGTCGAATAGAAGACCGGTGCCAATGTAGGACTGCGCCCAATAAGATCAACGAGCTGGACATGCAGGCCCCGCAAGTCACGCTTACTGCGCTTGAGATCGGCGTGTCTCCAAGAGGAGAGGCTCTTCTGCCAAGACATGCGCCGCCTGACCGCCATGGCAAAAGCCTGCGCTGAGGACGCCCGTCAAAGTCCAACCGCTTCCTCTTGCATGCCAGTCGAGGAGGAAGAGAGCAGAAGCAAAACAACAAGAAGTTAAATGAAGGAAGAGAGTCACGGACGAACGAACAAGGTCAGCAAGCGTGTGTGATCACGCAGTGGGAGCGAGCTTGACTTGCTCTCCTGATGCCTTGCAGAGAGTGTACAACAAGAGAGAAGAGAGAGCGAGAGAGAGAGAGAGAGGGCGTGAGCCTGAGCGGAGCGGGGAATTTGAGGAACATCGCGGAAGGCGAACACACACACACACACAGTAGCATTTGATGCGCGCGGCAACCCGGAACCTTAAGTGGGGGGGACCAAGATTCATAACTACATGTGATGCATGTTCGTGTTTTTGTGTTGCAGTGCGGTCGGAGCCTCAGATGCGGATGCTGCACTAGTACTGGGATACGACAGGTAGTAACCTTCTGCAGTAGCCATTCGTTGTCTTGAAATGTCTTGAAGCATGAAGTGCAACACTAGGACGGCCTGTGCACCCACGAACTAACACGTGCATTGTGTTCGATGTGTGTTTTGCTTGCCTGGAGGATCAACACTGAGCCACAGAGTTGTGAACTAACTAGCAATGGAGTGCGAGTTTGCGCTCGAGTTGCGGTAGCTGCCTTTTCAGATGAGATGAGGCCTGGGGATACAATAGTTTTAGTACAGGGGTTGCAGAGTTGCAAGACGAGTGCCGCGTCTGTATTAGCTTTCGAACAGACTCAAACAGACAGGGCGCGCCCACGCGCAGGGGGGAGCGTTGCGCTTTC